CATGACTGAAGTGGATTTATGACTATAATATGTTCAGGAACTTTATTTGCAAGGGAATTTAATTGGAGATGAAGGAGTTCACGATCTCATGTCTGGGTTATCTTCACATAAAGATATCTACTGCTTTAGAAACTATTGGGTTGCATCAGTTTTCTTCCACACAATCTAGTTTATCTGATGTTCATTGTTTCTGTCTAGGAAAACTTACAGCTTTGGACCTTGGCAACAATTCAATTAGTGCAAGAGGAGCATTTTACGTTGCTGAATATATCAAGAAAAGCAAGAGTTTGGTGTGGATCAGTCTTTACATGAATGACATTAAAGATGAGGTAGAAGTCGATGTAGTTATTACATAAGCTTGGAATAATCATATGGTTTCACATTACTTGTGAAGAATTTCCTTATTTGAGATTTTTGTGATGTATGAATGTCTAATGGTCTTTGTTAAGGTTTCATTGTCTTCGTAAAGAGCAAATCTTGATTTTTTTTAATCCACCAGTGATCTCCTTGATTTACGCTGTGCCTTTGGTATCTCATCTACTCATACTATGTTAACTTATAAGAGTAAACAGGACTTTTATAGTATTTTGAGTTTCTATGGCAGCGTGTTTAGTTCAGCCAAACTCTTAGGTGAACTGCTTGAGAATTTTGCAAGTCTTGGTAGGAGACATGAAGAGAAGAAGATTTAAGAAATATGAGATAAAAAATGAGAAGAGAGAGTCTTCTAAGACAAGGGGGAGAGAAAACCCAGATGGGGTAGTGGCCTAATAGAGAATGAAAATGCAGTTATGTACAAATGGTTGCAAAAATACTGTTTACTTGAAAAGTTTAGAAGCTTTGAATTCATTTCTTTTTCGAGACATCATTTCCCTCATTAAATTAGGTGGGCAGCGTAATGTGCTGTATAGTTATGAATTTGTTGTTCCAATGGCAACCATCTTGAGTGCATTTGGGGGAAGCACTATACATGTGATGACTGGTAGATCTGCAGATGAATTTTCGATTTTTTCTCTTTTGCCTATTTTTTCCCACTTTTTTTCACATCTTGCCCTAATATGTAATAGATTAATGCATTATCTAGCTTTACTACAAGATTAGTGTGGGGCAACACCTTAATCTCTTGCCAATATACATAATACAATGTGTACTGATCCCTTGCAATCGTGGCACTTGTATCAGGGAGCTGAAAAGATAGCTGGGCCTTTGAAGCAAAATCGCTCTATAATTAATGTCAATTTTGTAAGCAAAATGTTATTTGCTCAAACCTATATTTGTAGTTAATTTGATTTATAATTATGTCATCGACAAGCACACTTTGATAAATATGAGCTGGTGAGTACTCTTGCAGGGAGGAAACGATATTCATGCTAAAGGGGTCAGTGAAATAGCACAAGTTCTAAAAGATAATTCGGTCATTGCAGCTGTGAGTTCCTCCCAGCAATTTTCTCTCCAGTTTTTGGACTTCTATAACAAGAGGCCATTCATGACTCTCACTCTCTCTCTCTCTCTCTCTCATAGTTGGAACTTGGTTATAATCCCATTGGGCCTGATGGTGCGAAGGCTTTAGCAGAGGTTCTCAAGTTCCATGGGAATGTAAAAGATCTCAATCTTGGTTGGTGTCAGGTGAGGAATGGAATGGAATATTCTGAAACCTTTAAGATGGACCACTCGACTTCTTTGACCATGTATATGCAAAATTTATTGCAGATTGGGGCCAGTGGTGTTGAATATATTGCAGATATGTTAAAGTACAACAGCACGATACAAAGCCTAGACCTGCGAGCTAATGGACTAAGAGATGAGGTTGTTCCTTTCTACTGTATCTCTATCTTTGTGGTGCATTATACAGATTAATTGCTTAATCTTATCTTATGCTTTATGTTAGTTCTCAATTACGGCCTTTTGCAGGGTGCCATCTGTCTGGCTCGTAGCTTGAAGGTGGTTAATGAAGCTTTGACCTCACTCAATCTGGGCTTCAATGAAATAAGAGTATGGGATTCTTTTTTCAGAAGATTGCATTGTAAAAAAGTGTAGCTTTGCTCATCGTCTCATTTTGTTTTGTATACAGGATGAAAGGGCTTTTGCCATTGCTCAAGCACTAAAGGCAAATGAAGATGTGAGGCTTGTGTCTTTAAATCTTATGAACAACTTCCTTACAAAATTGGGACAGGTAATTCACTTTTCACGTTTTTTCTTTAACTCCTGTCCTTTCTATCGTTCTTTTACTCCTCGTATATACTAAGCCCCAAAATTGTGCAGAGTGCTATTACAGATGCTAGAGATCATGTATACGAGATGAATGAAAAGGAGCTTACTATTGTTTTCTAGTTTTCTTTGGTTCACAAGAGTAGATAATATTTCATTTCCCTTTTTTGGTTTAATAGATAAGACTGTTTTAAGTTGTTCTTCCAACAAGTGAATTAAGAAGTTTATCCATTCGGTTCCCTTTTCTTAGGTTGTAATAGATACTTTTCCTACGGGAAGAGTGGTAATTTTGGGATTGGAGGTATCATTTTAACTTTTGTGGATAATGATGTAATTGTGTACTTTTTAGTCTTATTTTTGGCTGTGTCGTAAAAGTGGAAAGCTTAGGATTAGGTAAAACCCTTGTTTCACAAGGTTCGGCTATTGGTTGTATACTTGAAAATACACTTTGCTCTTAAGATAATTACATTTTTGATCAATTATTCTTCTGCAGTTCACTGTTCTAAGATATTTATTCTGTGTCCATGCGCAACTAGGTGAGCAGGGTGTCACGGACCTAGTTTCGTTACACCCGAACAACTAGAACCGTGCGGCCTTAACGCTTGACAATTCCCGCACCTCACGAGAAAACGTTAAGTCAACCTTTTCACGCTCACAAATAATTTAACAAAGGAGGCTAAATTATACCCACGTTGAGAAGAGAATTTTGAAGTAAAGGATATTTGAAAAACAAGTAAGGTCGGGAAACTTTCTTTGTATAAATGAAAGGGAAAACTTTACAATCTCTCTAAGGAATAAATTCACTCAACTCTACATGATTTACAAATGAGACTTCTACCTCTATTTATAGGCAAAACTTAAACCTCCTTAAGATCAAGTGGCCTTACTTTACAACCTATGCTTAGTTGTTTACAGCTCGTTCTTAGTTGTCATCAAGTGGATAAGTTTACAACTTTCCTTGCAAGTTGTCGCCAACTTGATCTTAGCTTCCATAGAAGATATTTATTCTTGCCAACTCGTGCTTAGCTTGCCCTTTGATAATATCTTCGCCAACTCGCGTTTAGCTTGTATCTTTGATAATATCTTGCAAGTGGCACAAGTGGACAAGTTGTGCAAGTTGCCTACTTGTACCCCAAAATATCCCGTTGCACGTTCATGTATTTTTCTTCCAGAATGGCGGGGTCGGGACCTAGAAAAACCTCATGAAAGTCCCGGAAAGTTGCACCATTTTAGGCAGCCTGCATTCTGCCCATTCCATCCTATTGCAGCGTGCGGTTCACGCTATTTTACGGCCACTACCGGGATGGATCGAACGCGACCGCGTGGGGCGTAAGTCACTCCCCCACCGAATTTGGCGACGCCCTCGTCGCCATGTAGTTCTGAAGCTCGGACTCAAATTGCCATAGATCTCCCTCATTTTCCCAAGTAGCTTCGGACTCGGGCAATCCCTTCCATTTGATTAGGTATTGAGTGCAAGGGGGAACACCTCTCCGTCTCACCACTCGATCCGCCAAAATGGATTCAACATCTTTCTCAAAAGATTTTGTGACGATGGGAGGCGCTCTTTTTGATTTATTTCTCCCTAGATCCTCCAAGTCCAGCCTATATGGTTTCAACATGCTGACATGAAAGACCGGGTGGATCTTTAAAGTGCTTGGAAGATCAAGCCGATAGAAAACTCTTCCAACCTTTGCTAGAATGGGGAATGGACCTTCATATTTCCTAACCAAGCCCTTGTGAACTTTGCGGTAGGCTTTGAATTGTTGAGGCAACACTTTCACAAGTACTTGATCTCCAATGTTGAATTCCAATGGTCTTCGTCTCACATCGGCCCATTTCTTCATTCGCTTCTGTGCTTTCTCCAAGCAAGATCTTGCTAAGTCCACATGATCTCCCCATGACTTAGCCATTTTGATTGCTCCAGGACTTCGATTAGAATCACCAACCATAGATAATGTGTGGGGCGTTGTAGGTTGTCGCCCTGTTGCAAGCTCAAATGGACTATGTCCCGTGGATTCACTTTTCTGCAAGTTGTAGGAAAATTGGGATATGTCCATCAACTTCGCCCAATCCCGTTGGTTAGCACTAACAAAGTGCCGAAGATAACACTCCAACAATGCATTCACCCGTTCCGTTTGTCCATCCATCTGCGGGTGAAAACTACTTGAAAAATGCAAATCCGATCCAAGGAGTTTAAACAACTCCGTCCACAATTTCCCCGTGAAGCGGGGATCCCGATCACTTACAATATGCTTCGGCAACCCCCAATACTTCACAACATTTTTGAAGAATAACCTCGCCGTCTCCTCCGCAGTGCAATCCTTAGGGGCTGGAATGAAAGTAGCATACTTAGAAAACCGATCAACAACAACAATTATTGATTCGAATCCTTCGGACTTTGGCAAGGCACTAATGAAATCCATGGTGACCACGTCCCATGGTTGATCCGGAACAGGAAGAGGATCAAGAAGTCCCGCTGGTAATTTATTCTCCACTTTGTCTTGTTGGCACACAAGACATGTCCGAACATATATCTCAACTTGATCCCTCATTTGCGGCCAATAATATGCTCGTTCAATCAAAGCAATTGTCTGATCAATCCCGGGATGTCCAACCCACTTGGTGTCATGACATTCCCGAATCACGTCACGCCGCAAATTTCTCCACTTAGGCACAAATACCCGTTGCCCAGTGGTGTATAGCAACCCGTTTTCAATCCAAAATCGCCTTGTTTTTCCTTCTCAAGTGGCTTGCATCAATGTTTTCGCCATAGGGTCATGCTCCAATCCTTGTTTAATTTCCTCTAACAAGGTACCCGTGGCTTGACTAATTGCCGCAAGTTCCGCCTTTCGGCTAAGTGCATCCGCCACTACATTCACCTTCCCGGGTTTGTATTCCATCACATAATCAAACTCCGCTAAGAAATCTTGCCATCTAGCTTGCTTTGGGCTCAATTTCTTTTGTGTTTGGAAGTAACTTGTAGCCACGTTGTCCATCTTGATCATAAAACGGGAACCCAAAAGATAATGACGCCATACCCGTAAGCAATGCACAATGGCCGTCATTTCTTTTTCTTGCACCGTGTAACGCCGCTCCGTATCATTCAACTTGCGGCTCTCGAAGGCAATAGGATGACCTTCTTGCATGAGCACACCTCCAATAGCAAAATCCGATGCGTCAGTTTGAACTTCAAAACTTTTGTTGAAATCCGGTAAGGCCAACACCGGCTCCAACATGACCGCCGCCTTTAAATCATCAAATGCTCTTTGGCATTTCACGGTCCACTCCCATCTTTGAGACTTCTTGAGCAAGTCCGTCAATGGGGCCGCTCTAGAGGAGTAGCCTTTAATGAAACGCCGATAGTAATTCACCAATCCAAGGAAAGACCGTAATTCCGTCACCTTAGTAGGTGGCTCCCACTCATTGATTGCTTTAACTTTGGCTCCGTCCATTTTCAAGTGACCATGCCTGATGATATGTCCCAAGAAATGCACCTCTTCTTTAGCAAATGAACATTTCTCCTTCTTGATGTATAGTTTATTTTCCCGCAACACTTGGAAGATAATTTTCAAGTGCCCAACATGCTCCTCCAACGTGTTGCTATAGATGACAATATCATCAAGATAAACCACTACGAACTTATCCAAGTATGGATAAAATATCTTGTTCATCAAGGTGCAAAAGGTGGCCGGGGCATTTGTCAGACCGAACGGCATGACAAGCCATTCATAGGAACCATACCGAGTAATGCAAATAGTTTTAGGCTCATCTCCTTCTGCAATCCGAACTTGATAATAGCCTTTTTGCAAATCAACCTTGGTGTAGAATTTAGCGCTACCAAGCCGATCAAATAAGTCCGCAATCAATGGAATAGGATATTTGTTTTTCACCGTCACCTTATTTAGTGCCCGGTAATCCACGCACATCCTTAGTGTCCCGTCCGGCTTCTTTTGGAATAACACCGGGGTGCCATAGGGAGCTTTGGATGGTCTAATCCTTCCCGTCTCCACAAGCTCCGTAAGTTGTTTTCGAAGTTCCTCTAACTCCGGAGGTGCCATGCGATACGGTGCCATGGCCGGGGGTTTGGCACCAAGCTCCAACTCAATGCGATGGTCTACTTCCCTCCTAGGCGGAAGTTTCTTTGGCAACTCCTTAGGCATCACGTCCTTATTTTCCTCAAGGACCTTGGCAATAACAGTTGGCAAGTCATCATTATTTGTGGTGACTTCGGTTGCAACCGACAATTGAGCAATGAATGTCGGCTCACCTTTCTTCCATCCTTTCGCTAATTGCATAGCCGAAAGTTGTCGTGTTTCCATCCCCATGGAAACGGTAGAAACCATGCATGAAGATCCCTTCTCCAAGATGCACATCGAACCAAAGGAAGGCATAGAAATAGCATTAACCTTCCTTAAGAAATCCAAGCCCAATACTAGCTTGAAATCATCCATCGGGGCCACAGATATATCAACAGGTCTATGCCACGAACCCAACCGTAGTCTCGCTCCTCGAACTACGCCCGCTAATGGCCTTGCGATTGCATTCACTGTTTTCATCAATCCACCTCCATGGTGAATGTTCAATCCGAGCCTCCGGGCTTCATCCTCCGTGATAAAATTGTGTGTGGCTCCGGTGTCAACTAATGCCCGTGTTTGCCGTCCATTGATTTCGGCAAGTACAAACATCAATCCTTTTTCTCCGTTCACCCCCGGAACGGTTTTGGCATTCAAAGCATTGAAAAGTTGCAATGAACCCATGTGACTTGCACCCTCCTCAATACCATGGGAAGCCTCCGGTTGAGTCTCCGTAATAGAGGCCAAGGATCCAAGTTTAGGGCAATCTCGCATGAGATGTGGCCCTTTGCAAATGAAGCAACCACGAGGAGCAAAATTACCCCTCTTTTTATCATCATACTCCTTCCGCCAAGTAGTTGGCTTGTTGCTACAGGGTTTGTAATCAACTTTGGGATTTGGCCTCCAATTTGGCTTACTCGGTTGTTTATCTTTTCGCATATCACTTCCGCCTCTGCCAAAATTCCCTCTTGTTGGTTTGAAAGTCCTTGCTTGCGACTCCGTACTCCTTTGGAACTCCGTCAAAGATTCGGCAACCGCAATTGCCTCATCTACATTTTTGACTCCACGACATTGTAATTCTTGTCGCACCCATGTTGTACATCCATCCATGAAATAGAATAGCAAGACATCCTCTGGCATACTAGGGATTTGAAGCATGAGGGTCGTGAACTCTTTGACATAGTCACGAATGGTCCCTTTTTGTTTCAATTCCCTTAGTTTCTTGCGGGCTTCATATACAACGTTCTCCGGGTAGAATTGCCTTTTTAGCTCCCTTTTGAACTCGTCCCAAGTATCAATTCTACTAGCTCCGTGTTCAACATCGGCATGCTTACGACGCCACCAAAGAGATGCGGTGTCGGTAAGATACATAGAAGCGGTCCGGACTTTCATAGTTTCATTAACAAGATTTACACCTTCAAAATAAACTTCCATTTGCCATAGGAAGTTTTCCACGTCTTTGGCATCCCGTCGCCCATCATAATGTTTAGGCTTCGGGTATTCAATCCTCGGGGCAACAATAGTTGAAGCGTCACCTCCGCTAGTACCGGCAGTGGAGTGCTTGTATTGTTCAAGCTCTTTGCTCATTCTTTCCATCATCACAGCCAATTGGTTAACTTGGCCCTGCATAGCGGTAACGGCATCCAAGACTTTGGTTTGGAGACGACCAAAATCATCCGTCATCGCGGCTTGTCCGGCTACCACGGCACGAACATCATCTCTCATCGTTTGGACATCATTTTCCAACGATGTTTGCGTGTCCATCACCTCTTGGACATTGACTTGTAGAGTTTTTAGCTTTCCGATGGCGTGTCCCTCCAACGCCTCGAAGGAGCTTTCAAGAGATTCGACCCGATCACCCATATTTGAGATGATTTGGTCAAATTTACCCTCCATGTTGGTGGCCTCCTTCACCTTACTTTTACCTCGAGTTTTCCTTACTTCAGTTTGGGCAGCACCTCGACCCCTCTCCTCAATCTCAATATCAACAGTTTCTTGAGATTCTGTCATTATAATAGCCTACAAACGAGGATCTGATACCACTTGTCACGGACCTAGTTTCGTTACACCCGAACAACTAGAACCGTGCGGCCTTAACGCTTGACAATTCCCGCACCTCACGAGAAAACGTTAAGTCAGCCTTTTCACGCTCACAAATAATTTAACAAAGGAGGCTAAATTATACCCACGTTGAGAAGAGAATTTTGAAGTAAAGGATATATGAAAAACAAGTAAGGTCGGGAAACTTTTTTTGTATAAATGAAAGGGAAAACTTTACAATCTCTCTAAGGAATAAATTCACTCAACTCTACATGATTTACAAATGAGACTTCTACCTCTATTTATAGGCAAAACTTAAACCTCCTTAAGATCAAGTGGCCTTACTTTACAACCTATGCTTAGTTGTTTACAACTCGTTCTTAGTTGTCATCAAGTGGATAAGTTTACAACTTTCCTTGCAAGTTGTCGCCAACTTGATCTTAGCTTGCATAGAAGATATTTATTCTTGCCAACTCGTGCTTAGCTTGCACTTTGATAATATCTTCGCCAACTCACGCTTAGCTTGTATCTTTGATAATATCTTGCAAGTGGCACAAGTGGACAAGTTGTGCAAGTTGCCTACTTGTACCCCAAAATATCCCGCTGCAGGTTCATGTATTTTTCTTCCAGAATGGCGGGGTCGGGACCTAGAAAAACCTCATGAAAGTCCCGGAAAGTTGCACCATTTTAGGCAGCCTGCATTCTGCCCATTCCATCCTATTGCAGCGTTCGGTTCACGCTATTTTACGGTCGCTACCGGGATGGATCGAACGCGACCGCGTGGCGTAAGTAGGGGCTCACTAGAGATGAGTTTAAAGGGACGTTGAATCAGTGAAAGCATTAGAGATGAGTTATTGTTAACTTCTCAATCCCACACCTGTGCTAGCTTGCCCCCAAATTACTCTGTGTCTCTCTAGTTCTATAACTTCAGTTAATCTCATATGACCAATTAAGGTTGTATTTTTCGCCTTGGGGCCTGAACTAGTAAGTGAAATAGATGATAGCTCATGGCTGGTACAAAAAAAATTCTTGGGCTGTGTCAAAGCTGAGGAAATGTTGAAGAGTAGTGTTATTTCATTATCAGCTCGCTCTTTTATGCAGTAGGCCAGGAGAATTCTCATGACTTGCATTCTTTTGCTTCTGAATATGAATTTGTCCCAATTTGGCCGTACATCCATTTGATGGGAAATGCATGCATCTAGGGATGTCAACGGGTCGGGTTAAAATGTTCGAGTTCTTTTCCAAGCCCGAGCTCAGCCAAAAAAATTAGGCTCGATCCGAACTTTCGGCTCGGTCCTTTTTGAGCCGAGCTGGATAGGCTCGCTTTTTTTGCCCTTTTTTTTTAATGTATAGCATGCTGCTTTCATGAGCCACACACATGGGTTTGGGCTTGTCCCGACAACCCAAATTGGGGCTTGGTAAAATTGAACCTCAAGCCGGGCCGACTCGAGCTTTTTTCGGGCCGAGTCATGGACGGCTCGAGCCAAAGAGTCTGATTATTATTCCTACATACATCTTATGCATCTTGTATTCCCTCAAACTTGTATTTGTTAAACAAATATAGAGGTACTAAACAAATGCAAAATGGTAGCGTGTTTGATTGTGACTTAGCTAAGAAATTATAGTTTTAGAACGTCAGTTGAGATTTACTTTCTATACATTGATATTTTATTTTTAGTGGGCAGGATAAAAACTTTCTATTGTTAATGTGACGATAGAATTTTAGTTATGGTTCTTTGAATGTCTGATTGTATCAGATAACCATAACCAAAGTTTTTTTGCCACGTCAGTCACTGGATCAGGAGATCAACACTGTTACTTTCTATTATGTTAGTAAAAAAATTAATTTCGAGCCAGCAAATTGAGCTTTAGATGTGACGGACCGACACAAAGAACAGTTTTCCTTTCAGGAAGGAGAAGGAACTCAGTATTTTCGTGCAGAATTTCATCCTCTAGTAGTCTAGCCTCCAGCTCAAAGAGAGTGGGCAATCTGATCAATACATATTCTTTGTGCCATAATTAGAAAAAGGATAAAAAAAAAAAGAAAGAAAGCATGCCATTCACAGTGAATTTTTCACGGAAAATTCTTGGTGTACGCCATGTGTGCATTATGAACACCATTATGGTGTCCATAATGTACACCAAGCACCTCTCATTTTTCACACACACTTCATATAAATCCACTAGCCAAATACAACTGGAATCTGGCTGGATTTCAGAGATGCTGTCTGGCAGTACATCATCTTTGTCGCTTTCCTCACTTAAAGAGTTTGCCACTCCCCATATCCAAAAGTTGAGGTGAATCGAGCAGATAAGAGAGACTTGCAATAATATTTATTTATATTTAGCTGTTGCCTGTTGGAGTACTGAGAATTAATAGCAGATTTCTTTGACCATACACTGATTTTCTTGAATAATATAGTGCAAAACAAATTAACAATTCAGCCCCCCTTAGCACGCTCCCAACAAGTGTCTTTATAATATCTGAAAATGGTAAAAGAAACACTCAACAAGGAAAAATATTTATCCCTTGTTTGGCAATCACTTATTTATAATTTTAATTAGTTTATAAACAACTTAAAAGAGTCCAGTTGTAAACCACTGGCACAAAAAGAAGATGGGATCATGGGCTTGAATGAATGAAAAGTTGGCCTCAGCTGATGTAAATTGGAGAAGAGAGTACATAGACCTCGTTGATTGTGTCCTTAAAACTCGGGAATATTGTACAGTTGGTCCACAACGTAATATGCTATTTATGGCTGCACTACCTGTGTTTAATAATTGATAAAAAAATTGTTGAAAACTATAAAAAATTAATACCAACCTTTAGTGATGGGAAAAATTTTTTTTGACCCGATCCGATCTGACTGGGCAAAAAAACCCGTCTCCAGCAGGTTGGCAGGGTGGGGCAAGGCGGGGCACCTTGTCTTGGGCCATGGGGCAAGGTGGGCACCTTGTCGTGGGCCATGGAGCAGACCCCACTCTGCCCCACCCCGTGAAGGAAAAAAAAAAGATTAGAAATAATGTTATTTCTAAACAATTCACCCGTTAAAAATTCATTTTGAATTTATATTTTATTCTCTAATAGTGATGTAACTTGAAATTTTGAAGATGTGTA